GGGACTGGTAAGTATATTTAGGATGCTCCACTTGCTTTGGAGGTTACGGTGATTTATATGAGTATGGTGTTGGATGAGGCGAGCTTTAGATGTATTTGTTTGTTGGAGCTGGCGGTGATTTGTAGGAGTATGGTGGGGGAGGAGGCGAGCTGTAAACGTATTTTGGTGGTGGTGGTGGCGGTGATTTATAGGAGTATGGTGGTGGAGGAGGCGAGCTGTAAATGTATTTTGGTGGTGGTGGTGGTGGTGACTTATACGAGTATGGTGGTGGAGGAGGCGAGCTGTATATGTATTTTGGTGGTGGTGGGGACTTGTAAGCATATTTAGGATGGTCCACGTTTTTGGGAGGTGGTGGTGACTTGTAGTTATAATGAGGATGCTCTACGTGTTTTGGAGGTGGTGGAGACTTGTAATAGTACGGCGGTGGCGGCGGCGATGAGTAGACATACGGCTTATCGGCGGCGACTCGAGTGGCGGCAATGATACAAAATGCCAAAGCACATATTAATAAGGGCATGAGCATTGGTTTTGCTAGTGTTGCCATATTGAGAAGTTATAGCTTGGGGTTTGAAGAAATGAAAGAAATGTTGAGCCTCTTTTATAGAGTGCTCAATCATGGCAAATTGTATTTTGATTAAATAAATTTGATTTAATTTAATAGAAATGAAGGAAGACATGTAAAGTTGTACTTAAGTTTGATTTATTTATTAAATAAATTGAATTTAATTTATACATTACAAATGTTTGTCGATTGAATTTGCAAATTGTATCGATTGTAGGGGTCGTTTGTGGAATAAATGCAATCTTTAAGAGGTGTTTATTATTTTAAAACTTAATTGAATCATTCTTTATAAGACCAAACTTCAGGGATAATTTTTATAATATAGTATTAATAAAATAAATAAAGATGGAACTATTTTTAGATACTGTATCTGTCATCTAATTAGATGTTTTTCTTGTTTCGATGAATAGAGAGATGTGTCAACCACTAATTAGCATAATGGTTTCATTGATTAGGGTTAGGGATAGAATTTGGAACGAAATTTCCAAATTCCGGCGATTTCAATCCCAAAATTTCTGAATTTCGAACAATTTTTTTTCATTTTGATTTTTGAAACTCCGGTTTCCAATTTCTGAAAATTCAAAAATTCCGCCGATTTTGAAGCATTTCGAAATCGGAAGGAATTTTCAGTTCCGAATGTTTTTGCAAAGGAAATTGAAATCTATTTTTAATTTCTGCGAAAAAATCGAATAAATTCTGAGAAAACTATTTCCGATCCGTTTCATTCCGTCTGATTTCCACCTCTTTTATTGTTGTTTTTTTCAGAGCTGTTAATTGAACATCAAATTTCTATACATTCTTCAAGGTTAAATATTTAGCACATAAGAACATTGTCTTTAATTTTGAAAGAAAAAAAAAAGGGTAAATTACACCTACACCTCTAAAGTATGCTAAAATAATTTTAAGTTCTATGTAGTATTGATAATTACAGCCACGTCCTTAAAACAATTACCGGAGCCAAGATTCCATGTCCTGAGGACCGATATGCACTATATTTGTTTCTTGCGGGGCCGTTAATGCTACCATATACGAAAATTTATAAATCTTATGTAAAATAATAAGGATTTAAAAAATGTTAGGAGAGTCATGTCACCCCCTAGCTCTATGTTGTATCCATCACTGTCTAAACAAATAGTCCGTAAGAACCCTAACGGAATAACTTATCCAATGCATTATTTTGTTAGGGTATCTTACAATGTTTCAGGAGGTGATTGTAATTCCCGATATTACAGGCACCTTCAAGTTGTTTTAGCATACCTCAGGGGTGTAGATGTAATTTACCAAAAAATCTTAAAATCCTCTAATATTTTATAGGACATATTTAACCATTGATTTTTACTTTATCATTCTCTCTCTAATTTTGGGTTTTTTGCAAAAACCACCCCTGTGTAATTTCGAATTGCTGAAAAAGACCTCGTGTTAAAACAATAAGCATATACCCCCCTATATAAATTAGTCAAAGGCAATAAAGCCCTTGAGAGCTGGCTGTGCTCTTCACTCGCCAAGAATGCAAGTGGGGGTTCGTTTTTTTACACGAAAGTACCAAAATGCAACCAGAAATTTCATAAGTACCAAAATAAAGTTTTTTAAGATTTTCAATTGAGTCCTTTATATTTTCAATTAGGCCCTCTTCTTCAACCTCAAGAGCACCAATTTTTTTCCAATAAAAACCATCAACCAAACCCAGATCTGAGCATGAAGTTCATTTCTATTCCAAATCCAAGAAACGAAAGAGAAGAAAAACGGTGCCTCAAACTTTTTCGGCACATCCCTGCCCAAACAAAAAATAAAAACAAAAAAAATACAAAAAACCTTCAAAACTCTTTCTTCCAATTTCCATAGTATTTTCTTCTAATTTGTGAAACTTAATTTGTATCCTGAGGAACAAGAAGAAGAATGTCAAACTCGAAGAATCATATGCCGTCATTGCTCAGTTACTCCGCCAAACTCGAAGCCGACTCTCCGATTCCACCACGCCGCCGCCACTGCCTTTGAATGCCACCACCACTACTACAGCTTCTGAATCCACAATTTCCGTCGACCGAAAATTGCCGTAGCAGCAATTTTTTCTTTCGATCTAAAAAAAAACAAAAAAAATCCACGCTCACCATTGTCACCAAATATTCTTCTCCTTTTCCTCGACCTGGCAATGAACGGGAGAGGAGCAAAACATGTGTGATATTTTTTTCATTTTTTTTTTTGTTTAAAATTGAAATTTACTTAAAACTTATCAGGGGTAGTTTAGTGATTGCATAAAAGTCAACCATCAATTTTGAAGTTAGGGGCGGTGTGCTTCGTAAAACACAACATAGGGGGGTGCTCGCTAATATTTTTAACATGGGGACTTTTTCGACAATTCGAAATTACACAGGGGGCTATGTGCAATTAGCTCCTCTAATTTTAGTATAACGAGTGGTACTACTGTAACCAAACGTGAGAACACAACACAATGAAGATTGAAGAAGCTAATACGTATCTCGCAATATATGATCTAGCTGTTGAAGCAAGTAAACTTGTGTTAATTTAAATAAATGAGATCAACATTTTTTATGTATTTATTGACTTGCAAATTTGAAGGCAAATTAAACAATAAACACCTGCACGATCCAAAGACCAAAACAATTGCACTTTAATATAAAATCCCATTACTTGGAACATGTTAATTAGTACATCCTATCTAGCCGTACATACAACATAACATCGTACCAGGTTCTATAATTGGGAATATTCGTCTCCATATATTGGACATAATTTACATTAGTTGGAACCCATTATTCCATGACTGATTATTTAATCTATTGTATGACTTATCATATTTGTTTGTCATTTCAAATACCAAACGGTATAATTCAGTAATAACTTAAGATTTTGATTATTGAATATGATATCAGAGCTATGTCAAATAAAAAGGTCATGAGTTCGAATCGCACCGCCACCCATTTTAAACATTTCAAATGCAATGCTTCAAATATAATCCGTCTGCACTTGAAGGAACGTATTGAATATATTAATATAAATGATTCATTTCACTAATATGACTGAAACATGATTAAGAAAAATATTTTACTAATTGAAAGTTTGTGGATAGTGAAATGTTATTACATATATAATCATTGATACGCTTCGGTGGACGACGAACTTGTAGAGGGTGATTATGGGACATATGTTGTTGAAGCCAATTAGTTTTTTTGTCTTATATATATTATTGCGTATTTATCTATTAGTTTATGTACTTTGGCTCCCCAAAAGTTTGAATTTTATACACTTTAAGCCCTTTCTAGCCCCCACCCAAAACTCCCTGGGTCTGCCCCTGGTTGAAGTTGAATCAGCGGATGACGCGTCATCAGAAATAAATGGATTATTGACTTTGGTGCTTCTAATCATATATGCAAGTCTCTGTCGGTTTTTTTCTTCATATATATTCTCCTATTAGTAAAAGTATATATGTTCAATTGCATGATGGTTCTCAAGGGTCTGCGACACATACACATAAGCATTGTTCAATGTTTCGATTCTATTATAATCACGAATGTTTTCCACATTCCATCTTTCAAATTCAATTTGTTATATGTTTCTCAATTGACGAAGTCAACAAATTGTGATATAATTTTTTTTTCTTCTCAACGTATATTTCAGGACCGGTTAACGAAGAAGAAGATCGGCCGTCGGGGTAGCGTTCATGTTGATCTGTGATTCTAACTTCTGGAAACAGAAGCTGAAGATATGTTGATCAAGAGAAGCTCAAGATCAAATGGTGGAAATGGAGCAACTCAAGCAACCAATGAACAAAGAATTAATTAATTAAATTGCACAATCGACAATATAATTAACAAGATAATTACATTACAAGACAAGAAACATTAGACATGCACGCGCGTAAAAAAAAAAAATCAGATATCCGTAAAACATTATAAGAATCGTACGAATTACTCAAAATTTAGAACCAACATGAATTTTCAATGACAATTAATTCAAGAGAAAATAATACAAAGAAACATCAAGAAAAAAAAATTACAAAGCAATGACCGTAGTTAGTCGCTTCCTTGTTAACTCGGTATGGAATATTCTTGGTGGATGAACAAAAAATTAAGGACAAATTGAAGACGATGAGTACACATCAATTTCAAAATAGCAAACAAATTTCATCGATCAGTAGTGCTTCGGAGGAGGCGGTGAGTTGTAGTAGTAAGGTGGTGGCGGAGATGGTGATGGAGGTGGGGGAGATTTGTAATAGTACGGTGGAGGAGGAGATGGAGAAGGTGGAGGTGGCGATTTGTAGACATATGGTGGTGGTGGCGGCGAGGTGTAGGAGTACTTCTTTGGTGGCGGTGGTGGTGATTTATAGGAGTATGGTGGTGGAGGAGGCGAACTGTAAACGTATTTTGGTGGTGGTGGGGGCGGTGACTTATACAAGTATGGTGGTGGAGGAGGTGAACTGTAAACGTATTTTGGTGGTGGTGGAGGGGGTGACTTATACGAGTATGGTGGTGGAGGAGGCGAATTGTAAACGTATTTTGGTGGTGGTGGGGGTGGTGACTTATACGAGTATGGTGGTGGAGGAGGTGAGCTGTAAATGTATTTTGGTGGTGGTGGTGGCGGTGATTTATAGGAGTATGGTGGTGGTGGAGGCGAGCTGTAAATGTATTTTGGTGGTGGTGGTGACTTGTAGTTATAATGTGGATGATCTACGTGTTTGGGAGGTGGCGGCGACTTGTAATAGTACGGCGGTGGTGGCGGCGATGAGTAAACATAAGGCTTATCGGCGGCGACTTGAGTGGCGGCAATGATACAAAAAGCCAAAACACATATAATAAGGGCATGAGCATTGGTTTTGCTAGGGTTCCCATATTTGAGAAGCTCTAGCTTTAGTTTATGTTTGAAGAACATATTATGAATTGAACCCCTTATATAGTTATCAATCTTAGCAAACATCGACAATGTGCCACCCACTAATTATCACGTTTTGTTTCATTAATCAGTGTACTATTCTATTAATTTTTTAACTTAATTAATATGTCATACTCTTATAAATTATAGAATTACATTGTTTGTGATAATTTAGTATGCATGTAAAAGTAAAATAGTAGAAATTGAGTTTGAACCAAACAAAATCAGAAGATTACCCCCAAATATTATGTTATCATAGTTTATCTTGTATTTTTTATTGGACCTTTCAAGGTCAATAATACATTTTATTAGATTATTTAAACTTATCTTGGATAATCTTATATTTGCAACCAAACTGGGCCTTCAAATATTTGTTAGCAATTGAAAAGGAAAAATATATTTCCATAATTTAATGAGATGTCCTTAATAATACACAAAAGAGATACAAGGAGGAGCTAAATAGAATACATGTCCAAACACATAGTACAACAACCGATGAATGTTCCGTTTTTTTCAGGCTACGCGGCGGCACTTACTGAAAACCATGGTAGCCCTGGTTCAAGGCATTGTTTGGATTCTGAAACCGGAACAATTGGACCGAGAAAAATACGCCATAAGTCGAGTATAATCGTTACAAGCATTGCCGCTCCTAATGCATCAACCGCCACTCTCTGCAAGTCCCATTTATCGCCACCTTCCTCGTCAATTCTGCCCATGCCAAACAACACCCATCAGAGAAAAAAAAAAAAAAAAAAAAAAAAAAAAAAAAAAAAAATTGAATCTTTAATATAAAGAAATGTTTACCTCAAAAACATTGGGAAGCTAACAAAGAAATAAATTGCGTAAAACAAGCAGCCAACTTTGTACATGGAAGCTCGGTCCACAAATTCGTAATAGGGAAACTGCGCAGCAGGAAATTCAGAAGATTATTTCAAAAGGTCTATCATACATAGTGAGCACTGAAATATTACCCGGGAAAATTAATAGTGTGAATTATGAAAGAAAAAAAACAATTACTTACATTAGAAATAGCTACAGTCTCGAGATACGCAATAAAGTACGAAAAAGCGAGTATCCAGGCAGATTTAAATAGCCATTGAGTTTTCTCTGGCAAGTGTGCGATAGAATGCTGGATTCTTCGAAGTGTCATATTTGATGCAACGTGATAAAACAAGAAGCACACGTGTGTGAGAAGGAAAGTTGTGTGCGGTACCTGCAGAGAAATTACTCGTTTTCTAAATTATAATAACTTAATAAAAATATCAATTTGAATTAAAATAAAATTGAGTGTGTTGGGCTCACATTATTCATCTTCCACGATGGAAATGTATACGAGGCACCCAAGACTGTGAAAAAATAGTGGGTCCAAAAGTAATTTCCGACGTAACTGAAAAGTATGATCCACAGATTAGCCTGGCAGAACAACAATTGTCTAGTTAAAACTTAAAGCAAGGCAAACAGTAACGGAAGTGATTTTCCGACGTAACTGGAAAAAAGGAAAATAGTGGGGCACAATAGTAATTTCCGACTAAAACATTTTAGACAGATATAAAGGATGAATTTTTATCGGAATCTTAGATGATCAATTGGAGTTTAGCAAACATTCAATACTTACTTTGACCCAATACCGATCCTTCAAAGGTTTGGCGCTATCCACCTGGAAAAGGTTAGGAGGAAGAAAAAGTTAGGCATCGACAATCCTTAAAAATATGGACAATGAAAATTCAGTGCCCCAATCGCCGGGCCTCAACAAAGTTTTTAAGACGGTACTAATTGTTGACATTATTTCAGTTTTCTGCACACAAAATGAAATTGCATCTGATATTCTATATTGTATCACTTTCAAACTACTCTTCGACCAAAAATGGCTCGCCTGGCGTGCTTCTTTTGTGGTGGACTTTACTATAAGTTTTTGCTTAAAATATACATGTTTATTGATCTTATCCCCTTCATATTCCAGTAACTTACTCACTTTAGTATTCCAACCGATCCGGCTGTTGTTAAAGCTACACGTCGTTAGTTGGAGAAGCGCTCTCTCTCTGTCTCTCCAACTCACGACGTGTAGCTTTAACTCACGACGTGTAGCTTTAGTTGGAGTAAGTGACTGGAATATGAAGGGGATAAGATCAAGAAGCATGCATATGTTAAGTAAGAACTTAAAGTGAAGCCCACCACAAAAGAAGCGCGCTTGGCGAGCCATTTCCGGTCGAAGAATAGTTTGAAGGTGATACAATATAGAATATCAAACGCACTTTCATTTTTCGTCAAACAAAAGTTTATAAAAGTGGGATTGAATATGCAAATTGTTACCCGCCAACTAGTATTCAACAAAAGAAACAATCATGACGTTTACCTTGCCAACAAAAATCATAGGTAAAATGAAAGCAGGGAGTGCTGAAACAAGTCCGAGAACCAAATACTCCCACTCCGTGAAATTCTGACAGAAGAGAAAAAAAAAGGTTTATAATGGTTCAAAGCTTCAGTTTATTATGACAACATACATAAATGTCAATCGAAATAAAGAAAAAGAGATCAATAGCCAGACTCGAAACCAGTCCTTGTTTCTCCAAAACAAAATCGATTTGGGCTACCACACAACAAAATACCTCACAACTGACATACAACAAAACTCTTACATAGAGGGCGAGTTACACACACACACACACACACACACACACACACACACACACACACACACACACACACACACACAGACACATATATATATATATATATATGAAGATACTAAGTGGAATAAGATGTTGTTCCAAATAGGTTCACTAACTGACAAGTAGTGCACATCGGTAGGAAAGATCGAATCTTGCCAAATTTGTGGAAAAAAATCGTTATCAAGATAAGATTTTTATATTCTGATAATAAATGCAATTCTTCCATCACCCCCAACATTTCGACCTCTCCACCATTGTTATATTAATCTTATACTCCAAAACTTTTACTAGAACTTCACACATGAGACCGATAAATTCCAACTCTTACAGAAGCTAAAAAATTTCCACAACAAATTTCTTCAATACGCCTCATAGTAAGGAAACAAAATCAAATTGGCCCGTTACCGAGTCAGATTGCAACAAGGCAAACAAACTGAGTCAGCTAAATCAACTCGGAAAAAAAAAACCCTATATAAGTAATGAGTAGTGAGTGGGGAAATACCTCATAGAGTTTGTAGGGAACAACAATGCCAAGGCAGAGAGTGAGCCAAAAGGGAGTGTAGAGAAGAAAGAATATTTCGCCCCATCTTTTGCTCGGATCTTCCGCCAACCAAAGATTCGAACTTGAGCAACCCACTTCACTACTACCTGCAAATTCGAAACACTTCAGATTAAAAAAAAAAAAAAAGAAACAGCAAAAATTCTGACAAAGCCCAAATCTTGATAGATGAATGGGTGGTTTACCTCCCATTTGTTTCTGCAATTTTCGTGGGGTGCAGATAAATTAAGAACAACACCGTACTACTGTTCGTTCGGAAACTTGGTATCAAGATTTTTCGATAGCTTGACTTTTGAAGAGAGAGAGAGAGAGAGAAATAAATAGGGAGGAAAGGGATAAAGATTCTTGTTTTGGTACTTTATGGAGTGTGGCGAGACAGAGGATTTGTTCGAGTATGTATGACAAGAGGTTTTGGGTTTTTGGATCTGCGGATTTTAATTTATTTTATTCTCAATTTCGTGCACGTTCATGCCACCGCACAACTCTACTTACCAGCTGAAAATAAATTTAAAAAATAGAAAATAAAAATACATTATATTAATTTATTTATTTATAATTTGGCTTGGCTCAGACATAATTTAAATTAGGATAAATTACAACCACCCAGGTGTGGTCAAATAACAAAAACTCCCTGTTTGGGTAATTACAATCACTCATCAACTATAAATCTTTTCACACGTCCATCCTTGCCGTTTCAAATTTAGTCGAATCTTCGAGATTATATGGAATATTATCACTTTTCTACCAGTTTTATCCCATTCGAACTCCACATTTTGAAGCAAGATGATCATAATATGTGTTTTTTATCTTGTATATATCAGACTATGGAGCATCAGAAACTGTATTTTTGTACAAAACAAGTTCAAATAAGAGAATATTCGACGGAATCTAGATGATTATGTTGAATTTGAAACCATAACGGTAGAAGTATAAGAAAAAATTATAGTTGAGAAATAGATGTAATTATTCAAATAAAAGGGTTTTTTTGTAAATTGACCATACCTCAAGAGGGTGGTTGTAATTTACCCTTTAAATTAGTTTCCTGCTTGCAAAACTTGTAGCGTGACGATCAATATGGCCAAAAAATATTTAATAATTTATTTTTTTGCTTAGGATGACCATCAATATGGCCAAAAAATAACTAAAATACAATTTAATAACTAAAATAACTAAAATATAATTTATTTGATTATCTTCTGCTTCTGAACTGCTTCTGCTAAAGAAAGTTAAGATAAGAAAATATTTTTAAAAATTTAACAATTATGCTTACAAATCAAATGAAAATCGAAAATCTTATATGTTTTTCTTTTGTGATGAAAACCATTAATGTATCTACGCTGTGAGTTGATTTAGGCTTTACCTTCCGCCTAACTGCCCCTTAATTGTTGAATTAATCTTCTCCATTAAATAATCTGTGCTGAAGAAGCTCAAAAATTAATGCTCCATCCGTAAGTCTGATCATTAAAATCCACACTCGAAAATCGAAACAATCCACAGCCTAATGCTGCACCCCTTCGATAAGTCAAGAATAATCAGCATGCCCTAAATGGCTATATCCGTTGAGGACAGTATTTAGCAACGGTGAATTCACGAATTATCCGTCTTATGTACCGGAATCCGATTCAGCTAGATAACAAGAACCAAGAATGGTGATATATCTAATTGGGCCGATTCAATGGGCCCCCAATTTGTCTAATAATTGGGTCCACTACACGAAAGCCCAAGCACCTTCAAAATAAGGCTTGGGCCCAACAAAATAAACTCAACTCAATCAACACATATAAATAGAGGTTTTTATTCATTTGTTAAGCTATTATCCACAAATAATCTATAGTGCTTATTCTATCTACAATCTCCACGATCCGTACATCTGACTTGAACGTCGGAGGGGTTTCCGCCGGATCAACCTCCGGCTTAGTTCACGTGTGTTCATTTCGTAGGGACCTCAGCATCATCAAATGGTAAGAACAATGTACGGTAGTTAAGATGGAGGTATTAGGGTGGGCAAACAGAAGTTGGTTTAGCTTTCAAAAAATAGTATCCAACGTCGAATTCCGTACTAAATAATTCAGGAGACAATTGTGAATCGACATTTATTTTATTTAATAAATGCAGTTGCAATCGACAATAGCCATTTCTAACCTGAGATTTGTCGATTACTTTTCCATTGTTGTTGTGCTGTTCAAGAGTTGTAAGAAGTAATAATATATGTCTCGTTGAATGCAATTTATCGCGAAACAAGACTTACAAAAAATCTCGTATCAGAACCAACCGCGATCGCCATCTTTAGCAAATCCCGATTTTTTGCTCCGCGGGGAACTCATTACCTAATGCACAAGGAGTCAATAAATATATAATCATCGACATATATAGATATATTATATATCTCGAAAATAACAACGAAATAAAAAATAAATCTCATTAATTAGATTACCTGCCAACTTCAGAAGCAAACAAGAAATCATCCTTGATATCCGACACACACTCAAAAACCTTCATCTCTTCCGACAACTGAACCAAAGACTCGTATATCTCTTTCGATCGAGAATGCGACTTATCTCTAACTATAAACTCGTACACATTTCCATCAACCTCGATAGAGCTGCAGCCAGGTGTCTTATCCACTCCTCTCTCTCTCATCATCTTCCTCACTTCTCCAGCTTTTTCCCACATATTTCTTTCCACATACATATTCGCAAGCAAAACGTATATCCCACTATCACTCGGGTCCAATTCAAGAAGTCTCGTAGCAGCTCTCTCTCCCAATTCAATATTTTTATGCATTCGACATGCGAAAAACATGGCCCCCCAAACCACTGCATCCGCTTCTATAGGCATACTCTCGAGAAGTTCTATAGCCTCCTTCAAAAGACCCGCCCTACCAAGAAGATCGATCATGCACGAATAGTGTTTAATTTTCGGGGAGATTTTGAACTTCGAGCTCATTTGAGAGAATATTCTTCGACCATCTTCCACTAAACCACCATGGCAGCAAGCTGTCAAAATTCCGAGAAAAGTTACTTCGTCGGGGACTAAACCGGAATCGATCATCTCAAGAAAACACGATAAGGCATGTTTTGCATCTCCGTGGAGTGCTAATCCACCAATCATGGCGGTGAAAGTCAATGCGTTTCTGCCAGGAATCTCGTGGAAGACCTGAATGGCCTTTTTGATGTTACCGCACTTTGCGTACATGTCGACCAAAGCTGTACCGAGAGCAACGTTGAGGAAGAGATTGTGTTTCTCGATGTAGTGATGAATCCAAATTCCGACATCGAGTGCTCCGAGCTGCGAGCAAGCGGATAAGCAGCTGACCATGGTTACCTCGTCGGGATCGATTTTCAATTCTTGCATCTCGTGGAACAAAGACAGTGCTTCTTTGGCTCGGTGGGATTGGACGCAAGCACTTATCATTGCATTCCACGGGACAACATCCTTCTCAGGCATTTTATCGAACAGTTTACGAGCAAGATCCAACTGCCCGGATTTTGCACACCCTGCTACCATTGTAGTCCAGCTCACCATAGTCTTTTCCTCCATCTTCTCAAACAACTCCTTCGCTTCTTCAAGATCGCCACATTTTACATACATATCCAAAAGTGCATTTGTAAGTGGGACTGTCATATTCAATCTTCTGTCTATTATATACCGATGGAATTCATGGCCGAGAGTCGAATCTTCCAAATTCGTACAAGCCGTAACAACACCAATCATAGTAACCTCGTCTGGAGCGACATCGCTCCCCTTTTCCATTTCCCTGAATACCCTCAAAGCCTCATTCCCTCTCCCACTCCTTGCATACCCATTAATCAAACAATTCCAAGAAACCAAGTCTCTCACACAACTTTCATCAAACACCTTGTTGGCAGCCTCCAACTCCCGGCAAGAAACCAAGAAATGAATCAACGAGTTGTGAACAAATACATCGCCGTCGTATTTCATCTTCAACACATGAACAAGAATCCCATGACCCAAACGAGAGAGCGAAAATCTAGCGCAAGTCTTGAAAAGTAAAGGAAAAGTGTAATTATCAGGCCTCAAACAAACACCACTATAACTAACAACAGCCAACATTTGTTTGTACAGAACAAAAACCTCCGACGGGGTTTCGCTCTCGCTAACGGCTCTGATGACTATGTTCCAAGAAAATGCGTTCGGATTCTGCATCGCAAAAAGCAATCTTTTGGAATAATCGAGATCGCCCATCGGAGAGAGTGCGCAGAAAGCTACTAGCCGGCTGTAAGCGAGCCCGTCTGAAGAAAGTCCGGTGGCGATCATTTGGGACTGGATCTGCTTCAGGTGGATCATGGAATTGCATTTTGATTCGAGGAGAGAGAGAGTGGGGTTTGAGAGTACAAATTTGTGGGTTGTGTTCCAGTTGTTGGCTGAGATATTGGAGTGTTTCTTCAGTTTGTTTCTTTTGGGCAGGAGAGAGAGTGTGTGGAGATGAAATTGACGGAGTTTGAAGAAAGGTTTGTTGATACGACAACGTTTTCCGGGACTGAGGATGAAGAGAGACAGCATCAGAAATTGTGGCGGGAGAGAGAGCTATTTTCGACTGTCTACAGTTCGGAAGGCTACAAGTTGGTTTTATCTATCCTACACCCGGTGGTAAAGATCTACCCGGTGTATTTCACCCGGTGTAGGATCTCAAAAACCAAGTTGGTTTTATCTATCCTACACCCGGTGAAGGTTACACCGGGTGATTTTTTACCATTGATCTACACATACCAATGTGGGTGTGTGTGTGTTTGTGTGTATATGAATGGTAAAGATCTACCCGGTGTATTTCACCCGGTGTAGGATCTCAAAAACCGCTACAAGTTGGGGTTTAATTTAAATTGGAAGATATATCGAATTAATCGGATTTTTTTCAATTTGGAAATATATTTGTTCGTTTCTAAATTTTGTGAAATTTTATCTTTCCAAAGTTTTTTTTTATCGGGAATTGCGATATTTATACATATGAGATTCCGAGTTCAGATCTGATTATAATTTTCGAAACAATTTCAAAAATGACATTTTTAATATCAAACGATTCAAACCTCGTCCGTGAAATTTGATTGGGTTGAATGCCTGGTGCACCTGTAAATTTAGCAAATTAGTCACTTAAATTTAGTTGAATGAAGTTAACATTAGACTTTTATTATACATCATAGGGTAAATTACGACATTCATGATATAAGGTCAAATTACAAAAAACCTTCTCATAATTGGATAATTACAATCAAACTTTCAACTATAAATGTTCTTACACGCCACGCCACTCTTATGTTGTCAAATAACAAAATCTTCTAAATTTCATAAAATGTTTATGTAAAAATATATGCAGTTTCTAATGCATTACAATTTAATCTTTACAAAGTTAAAAGACACATCTCATGATTTTAATTACTAAAACATAGTTGATATAGTTGATGGATGATTGTAATTACTAAAATATATTTTTTTTGTAATTTGATTTTAGCCCAGGAGAGTGGCCGTAATTTATTCCAAATTATAATTATAATTAAGAAAAAATAGTAAAAAGTTAAAAAATATATATATAATTAACTGCAGACATGCAACTATCAGCTAAAATGCATTTATATTAAAAATAAATCAAAATGGCATAGAGCACTACTACAATCCCTCCAGTAAACCTCCATCAAGCACAAAGGTTCTGGGAAACAAAACAACCAAAAGGTAACTTAACTAACCAATGTTTGGGTTCACACACCCCCTCACTAAATCTATCTTATTTCAAAATTATGTAAGAAAAAACTTCGCCTTAAAATAAATACTCTCAAACTAACAAAAAAAACGATTTTCATCACCATCGATGTCCCTCGAGTTTTTCTTAAGCCCCGCCAGAGCCGTATTTCTTTCCAAGAACAAGAACCTGAAGCTTGTCGTAACCTGCAAGCACACCAGCACCAGCAACTGCACGAAGAATGTTCGCACCGGCACCCTTGAACAGAGATTTAGCACCCTCGTTCTTCAAGATTTGCGTAAATGCATCCATTGAGCTCTTGTACTTGACCGCCTCGCCAGATGTCATCATCATTCTTCTACGGACAGTGTCGATTGGGTAAGAAGCAAGACCAGCTCCGTTTGTGATGAGCCATCCAAGGGCAAAACTGGCAAAGAAACTATCCTGTAATAATCACATAGACAAACTTTTCGAGTTACTAACAATATTTACGAATAATAGAAGCAACAATAATAGACAAATATATACATATATATACTAACCTGCAATGAACCAGTCAAGAGAACTGGCTTCAAAGAGTCGTACATACCAAAGTACAAACCACGGTACACGATAATACCAACACACGAGATATTGAACCCACGGTAAAGACCGGCAATACCGTCGGATTTCAGAGTCTTTCTGTAGACATCAACCAGACCGTCGAACTGCCTTCCACCACCGCCCTTCTTGGCGGCCTTGGCATCGTTAGCAAGCCTCGTACGAGCATAATCCAACGAGTAGACAAAGAAGAGCGAGGAAGCACCGGCAGCACCACCAGACGCAAGGTTGCCGGCGAACCACTTCCAGTAGCCATCGCGGTCTTTCTTGAAGTTGAAGAGTCTCTTGAAATAGTCCTTGAATGCAAAGTTCAAAGCCTACGCACATAGAAATATTATTTATTCAGTAAATAAAACAAGAAAATTAAAGGGATGTATTTATCACTGTTTAAATCATTTAGAATCCGATCGATTTTTTTCATCACACATAATCATCATTATCATACAATCAAAAACCCAATTATACATAAATAAATAAATAAAAACTCTTGAAAAGGTGAGATTAGGTTAACCTGAGTGGGGAAGTAACGAATGACGTTAGCGGTGTTTCCTCTCCAGAGAGATCCAAACCCTTCTTCCCGAATTGTTCTCTTGAAACATTCGCCGATTCCCTTGTAGGGTTCCGAGAGCCTGCCAGCTTTAAGCATTTCGTCTTGGTTCTGGATCAGAAGCTTCACACGCTCGATAGGTGCAGCGGCAGTTTTCGACACGGCGGCCGAAACTCCGCCCATGAGAAAATCGATGGCGAAACTGGCAAAGCCTTTCTCCGCTGGAGCCTGGACAAACACCGGCGAAGCATTTGCGGTGATCAGCGAAAGATCCTGACTGGCTCGGCAAGATGTGGGGTACTTCAATCCTCCGTTTGTGTAATTGCCGTACGA